TTTTACTGGTGAAGGACGACCCAATGTGCCCCTTTGTGCTTAATTTCAACACACAAGCAGACACATGAGTAGAACAGCATACCTTCATTTGTAGATGGCCTATGAAAGTTTCGAAATTCTACGGTGTTCCTTTAGGACAATCGTGAATTTTTATTTAGTCTGTAGCGTAGACGCAATGACACGATGTTATGATATTGAAAACACGATGATAAACACTCGATGGTACGATGATGAAGTCGCTATGGCGCGATAGTACGATGGAGAAAACGCAATGTTACAATGCTGTCCATAGATATTGCCAATGTCCGGTCATTAGAATATATCCTTTTTAAAGAACCCAAGATCTGCATGCACCTCATGACCCCAGTACATAATTGACGACAGTCTAGACGTTTTGGTCATAGTTCCTATTAATTCAGATAAATGTCAGAATGCATTTAATACAAGTCCTCTCTCCTCAGGCATGTTCTACTTGCCTTAAAACATTTGATAGACGTAAAAAGGAGTTATATCACTTCATGACTTTCATTAAACATAATTTTCCTAATGTAACAATTACTTCTATTTACACTTGTATATATCTAAATTATACTGTATGAAGGTACCAAAAATCAGTTTTACATCTATACTTCTTACATGTGTCGGTGTTTTTTGTTGTTTGTTTTTTTCTTTTTTGGGGGGAAGGGAGTGGTTCTTTAGGGGGGTGTTTGTTTTGTGTTGTTGTTGTTGTTTTTTAGTGATGTTTTGTTTTGGGTTTTTTTTCTGTGTTTTTTATTTCTTTCTTAATGTTGTTGCTTTTTTAAAATTATTTTCTGATCCTATCTAAGCAATGCAAAGTTATAATTAAAACGTGATATTCTTTATTGTTATTGTATGACTACATAGGTCGGACACAAACTGGCAGATGTATACCGGAGGTGTTAAAACGCGCAAATTTGCCAAAGTTCACCTCTGTTGTCTGTTTTAGCTAATAATTACCAGTGGCAGATAGTAAAATTACTCTGTCTAGACGTTCTATAATCAGACATGTCAGTATCAAAGTGCTTTTTACACTTTAGTTTGCAGGTGATAAATTAACATTTGTTAGCTCAAAATGTCAAGGTTCCTGCAAAAATAAACAATGTTGCTCTAGCTAAGATAGGCATAAGATGAGATGAAGACAGCAAATATGGACCCCTAAACACGGCAAACTGACTTTCGTTCAGTTTGCTTACGTCTGTTCATGTGCAGTCGTGATATATAAAAGCTTTTACTCATCCCATACTCCACCCTTTCCCCCACACCCCAGTCCCTAGCATTTGCTCAAACAGTTTACAATATCAACATTCACTCCATCAAAAGATGCGTAGTACATGTATGCCTGCCATGCTAAATAATGTAACTTTGAGATCGGATTAGAGGTTATATGAAGTCAATGACAACAAATGTAGATAAAAGAATAAATGTTAGCTTTACCAAATTATGACACAAACACTAACAAGTTGCTATTTTCTTTCGTTGAAAATAGATGCAAATTTTAACTCATGGTGCACTTCTTAACGATGCTTAAGTTATTTCTATGGTAGGACAAAATTAATTTGTTACAGATACATAACTCATGTTGTCACATACAAACTACTTGCAATATAACAATGTCCTGAAATTTACTTCTTTTTTTTTCAATATTTGATTGAGGAGATCCTTGAAGTATTGTTTGAAATTTGAAATTTTGATACAGTTGTCGTTCAATTGAACGCAAACTTTTAACTTTATTACCTTTATCAGCATTACTTGTATATTTTTTACGCTTAATTTTTATTGTTCAGTTGATTTTGAAAAGGAGCAAAATTATATAATTTAACTATTAGAATTGATATGCTCTTCCAAATTCTACGAATATATAGTACTGATCTGATCCGGAAACAAATAAAGCATGCATTATTTGAACGTTTTCAAAAATAATGTATAGGATTTTATATATAAACTATTGATATGTCATTACATAAATAACACATGGGTTTGTGGGTAACAGTAAAAATATCATCCCGAGGAAAATACTGTTACCCGAGGAATGTAGGACAAAACCCCACCAGTTAAAACCCCACCACTCAAAATTTTATAGAGTGGACAAAACCCCACCACTACATTTCATAGAGTGGACAAAACCCCACCACTAAATTTTACAGAGTGGACAAAACCCCACCACTTCAGTTTTATAGAGTGGACCAAACTTTCTTGTAAACATGTTAAAAACAAACAATTGTGCATCATCAGAAATTCAAAATAATGTGTGAACAACTCATCAATAAGGAGTTACAGTTTGTAACACCTTTTTTGCAATCAAAACATCAATAAATAATCTGTTTTGTTCTTTAGGGATTAGGATTAAGTTTTTTGTGTACAGTTTGTAACACCTTTTTTGCATATTGCACATGCAAGATGTACAAAAAAATGTCATGCATTTTTAATAAAATTGTTCATTCTTATATTACACAAATGTTATATTGAAATTAGAAAATAAAATGTGAAAAAATGTGTATATTATATATATTATAATTCATCAAATATTGCCCAATAAGTGGTGGGGTTTTGTCCACTCTGTGAAATTTAGTGGTGGGGTTTTGTCCACTCTATAAAATATAGTGGTGGGGTTTTGTCCACTCTATAAAATTTTGAGTGGTGGGGTTTTAACTGGTGGGGTTTTGTCCGTCTTCCTTACCCGAGGCGTAGCAGAGGGTAACAGTATTTTTACGAGGGATGATATTTTTACTGTTACTCACAAACCCATGTGTTATTTATTTTATTACCCCGAACAAAAATACTGTGATGATCTGAAATTGACAATTAACTCTTATTATGTAACAAAAATAAACCAAGAGTAACAATAACTAACCTTTTAAGTTTTAAGTGTACTTTAGGCCTACTTGAGAAGTTTTCTTTTTCTTTTATTCTTTAAGCAAGTGATGATATCTACAAATCATAAACATACAATAAGCTAGATTTTATTTAGAAACAAAACACTAACCCATTTACACGGTTGTGATCTGTGAAATCTGATCCTTCTGTTTCCAGAATATTCTTAGCATGGTTTTTGACAAAATAACGATGATATCCTATGTCTGTCCACCATATATGTAACGTTTCACTGATTAAAATTGTAAAATAATTCTTTGTTGCATGCTTAAATCGTCTGCATGTTCCATTTTGACACACAATTATTTACATAGCAATTACTTCCGTTGAAAACGGATGTTCACTTTTTGACTATTCAAAAAAAAGATATTTTATACACGAAAAGCACACCAGGTTGCAAACAACTAAGTTTTTATCAGTGTCATAGTTACTCCAGAGAAGAAATTGATGTCCTATCGGGGTTTAACGTTGAAAATAAGAATGAATCGAGAAAACAATTGCGGCCATTTTATTTCATTTTATTTAGAAAATAGAACACGTGACCAAATTTTATACTGTTAAAAAATACTGTTACCTATGTAACAGTACAAAATTCTTAGTCACGTGGTACACTTGCATTAACAGTAAAAAAAACTCCCAGAGGCTTATGGGAAATTAGCATTACGAAAAAAGTGAGGGGTAATAAAACAAAATGATAAAATGAAAAGAAAATATCAACGAAACGGAAATAAAACTGTACGAAAACCCATTTCTGTCATTATCTCACATCCTATACAAAGAAACCAATAAATTTCCAGCATTTGCACCACGTGATGTTCCAATACAAATCATTACTTGGAATTTAGCTTCGTTTTCATTTCCCGAATCCAAAACATCCAATGCAAACTGTATTATATCTAGCCTCGTTTTTTTCTGAGTTCAAAAACATCAATATCAAAACGATATTGTACTTTTTCGTGTGTTTTTTTTTCAGAGTCCACATACAACGAATCTTTAATATAATACAAAAATAAATGTTGATTTGTCAGGGTATTTTTTCTCCAATTTCATGTGTAATTTCTTAAGAAGTGTTGGTATAAGGGTTCTCGCTCGTACACAGCTGCAAATACATTTCTTTTATCTTGCAGATGATTTAATACAACGGCACTATTTTTTATTTTATTTTTTTAAACAAAAATGAACTCGTAACATTCTAAAGCAGCCTATATCATGATCTACCGAAAAGTAGATTCCATAAAATTGTTGAAGCAGCCCCTGTTCTTTCTTATTTTTGTCGTCTGCTACGAACACTTCCTTAGAAACGGAATTAGATTATAAAACAATCGTCACGTTTCAAAAAGGCAATTTTAAATCTGGGCTTGGCAGTTTTTGGTTCAATTCAAAATAAATTTTATTCTAGATAACGCGTCTTGTTTGTGAACGAATTGTAAATATACGATGCGTTATGTGCATCTTTTCTTAAAAAAAAAAAGAAGAAAAACCGATCCGATGCGTCTTAGAATACAGCACATTTAAACATTTACGAAAGTTCAAAAGGAATTATGTAAATGCGAACAGCATGTATCAAGGGTGGGGATTCATTGGCTGTGCATTACATACAATTCATGACAGTATTTTTAACAAATATTACTATCAATATCAACGTAACATGGTAAAATATATGTTGTGTGGTAATTGAATTCATTCACATGTATGTGTTATTCTTTCTTCTTGATGGCGCGTGGTTTTATAAAGTAAACAACTAAATTATCTTCATAGACGATTCTTTCTCAAATAAGATATCATGCTTTTATCTTAAAAACTGCATATTATTATATGCGCGATTTATATGTAAGCAAATAACAAAATTTATAGTTTATAACAAAAGAAATGTGAAAGTTACAAGATCATTTCAGAATAAATTATATTATTTCAGAATAAATTATATTTTAATGCATAACTGTTAACATCGTCGGATACCCACGGCCGAACCATTAACATTGATTGCATGTTATGTAACATGTTTATCAATCGTGGGTATCCGACGATGAACTGTTAATAGATTTAACGTATAATGATAAATAGGTCATACTCGCTTCTTAATATAAATCAAGAGTCTATAAATAGATATGTAAGTGTTTATAAATAGATTTTAGGAAAATTGAAATCGAAACTAGTTTATCTAACAAATATGGCGACACAGGGTAAGACCGTTTAAACATTAAGCGATATGTTAACCTTATAATATTGCAATGTTTACGTAAATAATGTATTCAAACAATGATGACAATTAACATTTATTTTTTACAAAGTATAAGAATTGATTATTACAGTTTTTATTTTCAAAGGACAAAAACGATCTTATCCCAACGAAACCGAAAGTGGTGAATCTGATTTAGATGAAGACGCATTGCTTGCTGAGGATGAAAATGACGATGACCTAGCCGATGTTTTCCAAAAAGCATCACTCTCAGATGAAGAAGAAGATGATGATGAGTCTATAGTGAAAACAGGTTTTAATTTAATTTAATTGAAATATCGAGTTGTATTTTCGGAAAACGGTAGCTGTTGCTATGAATAATAAAAAAAGATATTTATAGTTACAGAACACACATCTATATTGTTATCTACTAGATCTATATTTGATTTTAATTTTGAAGCAAGTTTGATCAATAACCCATCGATCTAGCTTTAATTAAAAATCTAAAATCGTTATGGTGATAGAAGTTGTTTGACACAAACTGGTTTAAAATAGCAGTATTTAAACTAGGTCATTTAAAAAAAATTATCAAAGTGTAAGCACATTCTATGATCAAGCTCTATTTGGTAATTGATCATCTTTAAAGTGATAGAAGTAGTTTAACACAAACTGGTTTAAAACAGCAGTATTTAAACAAACAAAAAATACCTATCAAAGTTTAAACACATTCTAACATATCACATTACCGTCTGAACTAGTATCATTTGATTTAATAGGTTTATCTAAATCTGTCTATTCATAATAGGTGCAAGTCAACCCGGCCCAAAGTCAATCCGGCCCAAAATTAGTCAACCCGGCCCAAGTCAATCTAATCTGTGGTCAACCCGGCCCCATTTGTATTACTATCTATTTAGCACTACTTTTACTTCGTTTACTTTTTCCATTCAAGAAAAAAATGTGAATAATTATCAAAAAAAAAGAAGAAATAAAACGATTCGTGATATTAGTCAATGGAATGTGTTTCTAGAAGCACATTAAGTAATATGTTTTCTTATTATTTGTACTTCTTTTGGTAGCTAAAGCATTATATTTAATACAGGAAATGTGCCTGTGGAGAGAGGTCTAAATCTTAGAGAATACCAAAAAGAACTAGCTGAAACCGCCATTCTAGGACAGAATACAATCATCCATGCTGCAACTGGAGCTGGTAAAACAAGAATTGCGTTTTACATTGTTAAGAATCATCTTGATAAAAACCCACAAGGTATGTATATTTGAGCCGTGTCACGACAAAACCAACATAATGGGTTTGCGACCAGCATGGATCCAGACCAGCCTGCGCTTCCGCGCAGTCTGATCAGGATCCATGCTGTTCGCTGTCAGTTTCTCTACTTGTAATATAGTTGGTGAGCGAACAGCATGGATCCTGATTAGACTGCGCGGATGCGCAGGCTGATCTGGATCCATGCTGGTCGCAAACGCACTATGTTGGTTTTGTCGTGACGCGGCTCAAAATTTTCTTAATGGTATCATTAAACAGGTGTTCTACATTAGCCGGTGCTAGTTGCTTTTGTTGCTAACGTATAAAGAGCCTCACTGCAAAATTTCATCACTTTTCCCGGATTTTTTAAGTTTTCCGTTTTAACTATTCTAGCTTTTATTGGTCTTTTGTATTGATAAGTGATTAATAAAAGAAATGCATACATATTTTGTTATATTTTATAGGCGCATACAAATATTTGCTAAAATATGTGTTGTGTTGTATTAATGTAAGTGGTATATCATATATCACTGAGTAGTTCAAGTTATACTTTTTTAATTGATTTATGACTATCTAAACTGGTATGTGAAAGAGGTGGTAAAATCATGCCACGCACTTAAAAAAAGAAATCATCATAACATTTTAGTAAAAAGACAATTATGTTATGAATAAATAGATTTTCACAGATTAACACAGTTTAGTAACTGTATATAATTTCTATCTGATTTAAAATAAACAAAAAACTGCAGTTACTACAAGTCATTTAGTAAATACTAAAAAACTGCGTTCTACGTAACATGTTCTTTCTTTTATCAATAGGATACCTACTATATTTCAGGGAGAGTTGCTTTAATGGCGGACAAGACATTTCTTGTAAATCAACATTTTGCAGCTTTAAATAAAGTAATGCCAGAGTATAAGGTAAAATATACCATTAATAAACAGAAGAATTGTTATGTCAGCTTGTCTCTTAACACATGTAATCGATAATTATTATTGATCAGTTAGCATACGTAAAGGAACATAAAGCCGAAATTTTAAAATATAATTCTACATATACTGACATCTATCGATAAAGGATATTTGTATGTAGAAACTATATTATTATTTTTAGTATTATATGCGACAATAAAACAGACTTTATACATGCACCTAGCACATAAGAAACCAGAAGACAATTTATAGTTTCATATTTAGATTTCAAATGCTTTGACGTAGGTGTATGTACTCAATTGTTGTAAGTCACGAATGTTATTAATTTGATCGGAAACACAAGAAAAAGCCAAGCAATAATAAAGAATCCACTTAATGGGCTGAATTTAACTTTAATGCACACAACAAAGTATGTTAATTACAGGAAAAAACATTGTGTATGAGTGGCCAGAAAGAGAAAAGCGGACAGTTACATATGTTGGTTGAAGGGCATAGTATTATAATTCTGACACCAGCTCTGATAGAAAACACCATCCGACGTCATGACGCTAACTTTATGTCGAAATTCACACTGCTGATATTCGATGAATGTCATCATACACAGAAAAAGACAAATTACAACCGTTTGATGACGAGGTATCATGTACTGAAAAGTCAAGGCAAGACACCACTACCACAGGTACTATCCATGTCTCATTATTCAATCATTTATTTGTTTTCTTTGAATTCCTAATCAGTTACAAATTATTTCTTCTTATGTATCATTTTAGATATTAGTCTGACCGTGCTCTGTCTTGTGCCCTGTCCTGTTTTTGTTTGGGATCCTCCTGGGCTCCTTACCACTGGTTCTTGTTGCTGGGTCTGTGGGGGATGCGTTCAATGAACGCTGCCTTTCCTTGTCGATCTTGTAATCTTTGTTTGGAAATTTTTAGCATAACATCAAGTTGATATAAGAATGTTTATACATGGTTTTCGTTTTGCCAGCTAAGCTTATTAACGATGTGAAAATTAGGCCACAACTTATTCTTGTTCACATGTTTTTGCAAATTGATATATTTGATTTAGAGTGAAAACATACTTATGTTTTAATAATAGCAACCCGGTTTTTATATTTATTTCCAAAACGTCTTCTAATCTTGCAATGAATTGTTGAATTGATGTACTGATTACATTCTTAGCACGAATAATTTTATATTCTTTTTTCAATGTACTTCGTGTCATGCAATATAATTGTGTTTCTTTATATCTTGGTTAGCTTATTCAAATTCATTTCTCATAAAATGAAATGTATCCAACATGAATAAGCTTCAAAGTTAGCAATAATATTAAAAGTTATCTAAAGTTTTCGTATTTTAATTCCCTTTAGTAAAGATTTCATACGCAAATCTAGCAAAAGGTTTCCTTATATCATTAAATCATTTATTTTGGATAATGTCTTGAATACAGAACAGAACAAATTGCATTTAAAAAGGAATTTGAGCCGCGTCACGACAAAACCAACATAATTGGTTTGCGACCAGCATGGATCCAGACCAGCCTGCGCAGTCTGATCAGGATCCATGTTGTTCGCTATCGGTTTCTCTACTTGTTATAGGGTTTGTAAGCGAACAGCATGGATCCTGATCAGACTGCGCGGATGCGCAGGCTGGTCTGGATCCATGCTGGTCGCAAACCCTTTATATTGGTTTTGTCGTGACGCGGCTCATATTGTTATTCATTGTAGATTCTTGGTCTCACGGCTACGTTAGGGACCAATAAAGCAAACAGCGTAGAAAAAGCTAAAGAACACGCTCTCACAGTTATGGCAAATTTAGATGTCTCTAAGATATCAACCGTTGTAAAGAATCAAGAAGAATACAATAAATTTCGGAAAGACGTTGTTATTGGCAAGTTGAAAAATAAAATATTATGAATTTTAAGTACATACCGCTATAATTCAACACACAAAAAGAGATATATGTAGTAATTTTCTGTTTTACTGTGTATACCCATGAAATTGGGAAATTATGTAAGATGATTTGGTATAAATGTGTTCACTTTAAAGTCATAAAAAGCTTACTTAGAGTCATATATAAAATACAACTCTTATAGGTATAATAAAAAGTTAATGTTTTAACTTAATTTTAACTTCAATTTACTAGATAAGATAGTTCTCTCGGATGATGCAGGGCACGACAAAGTCCATTGTTGTATTACAGAATGCATGAGAAAAACAACGGATATTCTTTGTTCCAACACAGGTTTGTATGTTTGTTTTCAAAGAAATGCATTAATGAATAATACAATTTTAGGGATATAATGTTAAGCAGCAAACTGTATCGAGCTTGGTCAGACTGCACGGAAGTGCATCCTAACCTGGCTACTTTTGTTTAGATTAAAGGTACTGTAGTTAAAATTAAAAAGGGTATCACTGTTCAGTACAATATTTAATATATTTTGATTTAACCCTGACATATAATCCCATGTTAGCATACGCTTATAAGTCGTAAAGCGAAATTATCCAGTCTATTAATAGATGTAAGTCATATTCACCTGAAATCTCCTGAAATCATTCAATTGTTTGTATTATACTAGTTTTTGTTCATTTTGACTTTGCTTGCTCTATAATCAGTGCGGCGTGTATTGTAGAATTTCAAGTTTAGTATAGTCAGTGATCTTTTATTACTGTAAATTTGTATATGTCTATAATTATACTATTAATGTTTAATGATACAGATACAACGAAGTATTCTGGAGATGTCGATTATGAAAACCTTAAAGCTGCTTTACGAAAGAGAGACTTAGTGAATACGAATGACCAACAGTATTTAACGTGGATAGCGGAACTTTCAAATGCTGCAGATCTTTTAATGGGAAGGGAACGTGACTTAGCTCATAGTGTGAGGATTGGGGCAAACTATCTAAAGGTATTTCATTACTTAACTTTTATGTACACACACTGAAAACAAATGCATATCTTGTCGTGATACGTTTTACAGTTGAGTCACTTAAGTAATGACTTAACAAACAAAACTTTAATTTTACACATTAAATCATGTGACGCACAATAGAAACGGTGGAAGTTTATGTTTATTAAATGATATGTTTTACAGATATATTGGGAGGCTTTGAATATAAACGATCAGCTGACAGGGCAGTATGCAGTGACCTCTCTGGATAGGAAGTTTAAAAACGAGAATCTGGGAAAATATGCTAGCTCAAAGAGCTCCTCAGAAATAGAATACAGTGTACTTGCGGAAGGTACGAATAAAGTTTGTTTGTTTTGACCTGTGATACAATTATTTTTTATATGGTTTGTTGTTAAAAGCAATTATGCATTTAATTTGTTTATTTTTTACCTTTCGTTTAAGATCATTCACGCTTTCCGTTTGTTTTCTAGAATAATCATTTTCTTTAACCCCACAAAAAATGAAGAGCGTTTAGTCGTTTTACTAGAATGGGAAAAAATAATCGATTTTAGATTTGATGCTGAGTGTATTGTTTAATATTTGTTGTATAGTTTTCTGTTATAAAAGTTCAAATTGATTCATGTAAGAATTTCAAATGTTATTTCTTTATTTTATTTTTTTTGGGGGGTGGGGGTGACTTCATTTGTGCCCCTTTTAATATGTTTTCATCAGACTAGACTAACATAACAACTCATATTCTTAATTACAAAGAGCTGAATCTCAACTGAGTTTGTAATGAAAAGTGTGAGACACATACAGTATGTATTATCGGTGAAATCAAGTACTGTTTTGTATAACAGTTTTATATTGCTCGTTTCTTGTCACATACTGGTAGGTTTGATGTCTGACATGTCCAATATGAGCACAGACCAAAGTCTAGAAGGAAAATCTATCAACAAGCTGCTGAAGAAACTTCAAGAATATTGCAATGAAATGAAAGAGAATGCCAGATATATTGTGTTTGTTGGTACACGTGAGATATCAGAAATGCTGGCAGACCTGCTGAAAACAAAACATTTTAAATGTTCCTGCTTTACTGGATCAAGTGCAGCTTCAGAAGTTGGAGGTATGAGCTCTTGTTATATACAAATGTAGTTAACTGTTATAATTTCTGCTCCAGTAAATCCCAGAAACAACCGGAGTTAAGCACACATATAATGTAAATTACCCCCTCCCCCTCCCTCGTGTAAACGTGACATATTTAAATCTGTTGTAATTTTTAAAGAAAATAACATCAGCAAATTTTCTTGTGCATACACAGTCAAATAGAGTTAAAATGATGTTGCATACATTGTTACTGTGAACGAAACCTAATGGAATACATTTTGCAAATTATATTCTGATTTTGTATCCTCAGGCACAAGCAGAAATGAGCAAGAAAAGATTGTTGAAGATTTCAAAAAAGGGATGATAAATGGAATAATTGCAACAACTATTTTAGAGGAGGGTTTTGATATACCTGATTGCGATATGGTATTTGGTTACAATTATGTTGGAAACGAAATCTCGATGCGTCAAAGTGCAGGTAAATAACTTTTGATATTGGTAATCTGGGTTCAATAGAAAAATATATTTTTCTGTAAAACATTTTCGAAATATTAAGAGGATATTTTTTCGTTTTTTGTGAAATATGGAATATATTTTCACAAACATGATAAAATGCCACATATTTTCACTCGCCGTCCCGGCTCGTGAAAATATGTGGCATTTTATCATGTTGAGTGAAAATATATACCATATTTCACGAAAAACGAAAAACTAACCTTTTTATTTAATTTTATTATCAAAGAAAATGGTAACGAATCCCCTTGCTTGCTACCAACTGCAATTGTACAGCGTGCATAATTTATACGTAAGTACGCGCTGTTTGGCGCTACATTGTGACGTCATGTAAACAACTCTTTAAACGTCTGTACAGCGTTAATTACTGAATTAAAGATATTGGTGTTCGGATTAATTTTCTTAGTTAGACCATTTTCTATCATGCTAGATAGTTTTCAAAACAAAATTCAAGAAAGAGTTGTTTTGTATTTATCAGATTTTTCAAACAAAACGGCGAAAGAAGTCCCATAAAATAAATATGAGTTTTGACTCCGCCCACTTTCATATTTATATTTCATATTTATTTTTTAAAAATATGAAATATATTTGACTGATATAGCACCATATTTCATGGGTAAAATTAAATAAATATGTATATTTGATATAAATCCTTTATGTTTTAGGTCGAATTCGCAAAAAGGAAGGTCAACATGTTGTCTTGTCAAAACAAAAGGATATGATAAGAGGAAGTATTAACGTTCAGCGAGGACGGTTGATGGATGAAGCATTAAATTCAATTGTTTCTATGTCTGAAAAAGATATCAAGGATATTATCACCACAGAACAAAGAAGAATTGTCCAGACTGAGCTAGCAAAACAACAAAATGTTGCAAAAGTTCCAAAACTCGATACAAGCCTTTATAAATTGATATGCAAGAAGTGCGGTAAATTCGAGGTAAACTGCAATGATCTGCGATCAATTCAAGACCAACATCATGTTGTTATTCAGCCTGATATCTGGACAAAGGTCAGAGTAAGATCCTTTCCAAGAAACCCGCCACGATTTGCCGAGGAAATCATTTGCGAAGGAAGATTGTTTGGCGGTGGTGGAAATGACGGTTGTCCTCATGAAATAGGTGTAGTTGGTACTTTTAGGGGAGCCAGACTACCATTTCTATCGTATAAATTCCTGCTCATCAAAGACAAAACATCTCTGACGACCAGGCCAATTACAAAATGGGCTGATGTTCCTTTCAAAATTCACCCAATAAATGATCCTGAGGACCTGACCACCATGCAAAATTGTAAACAATGACACAAACGAAGTACCACTATACGTCTCTTAAATATATCACGTAGTATTTACCACACTCTTGTGATATGTTTTATTGAAAGTGACTTCGCATGAAACATAACATAAACCGACTTTGAAATGTTCTTAATAGACATTTAAAAACGTAACGTATCAGAAGGTATTGAGAATTCATTAAACATTTAATGATAAATATTTGTATATTGACTATTTTCACTCTATGTAACAGTCGTTTGGTTGCTATTTTTATATTATTTTTGTTGGTAAAAGGGAGATAACTAGGTTGTGTGCAGAACTTTCTAAACAAGTATCGATAGCATTTCTTGTTTTAATAAGGTTTATATGATAGATAATGGCTGACTCAAAAGCTTTTGTTTAGAAAAAAGATACCAATATTGAGTGCATCGTTGTAAATAAATGCACGGTTAGGGTTCAAATGCGTAGGAATATAAATCATCGAAATAAAACATCATTGTATATGAATTTGATTGAAATTGGAAATATTTGATAAAAATGAATTAATATCTAGTAGAAATACTCTCCTTTGTAATTATAAATATGCATGATAACTGCTAGGACATAACTCTTTGTAAACAATGTACATATCTTTTAAAATAATTTTTTCATCATAAATATATTGTGACGTCGTGTTGTGATGACGTCATGAGGTAAAGCGTCTGACGTTACGATACGAAATTCATTTTGATGATTATACTTTAGAATTTATGTATTTTTTCGTTTGTTCAATCAACTTTAATTTTGTCTCTTCACATTCATATTAAGATTTAACGTTTATTGTGAATGAAATTGCTGTCCGTCGACCATTTACAGTTTAAAATAAACAGAACATGTCCCATCTTCAAGTTTATCGTGTCCGGTAACATCGGAAAATTCAGTAATAAACTTACACGAATTTATTATTCTGTTTATCATATTCCAAAAATTAAGACTGTTTGAAGTGAAAAATAACCCTTTTTTATTATTGATACGCGCTAACATATTGCGCGTGTTAACGCTATGTTTATATAACGCAAAAGACGGCAAATGTAACGTTAAAATACGGCCGTTTATACCATATAAACGGAGTTGTAGAAACGGCACGGGGTATGTGATAAAACAGCCTTTGCTTGTTTCTAATACAACTGATTTAGAACCTATTACGTAAGACAACTTTGGTATTTTTCTCCAGTTTATATTACATTGGAATGGATGATTTTTCAGGATCAATATCATATTTCTCATGTGATTTGATAGTAGTGCCGTGCAATGACACAAAACGAATTATGATGTCTTTTACGTTGAGATAGGCTACATCATGAAGATAAATGTCAATGATTGAGACAATAATTTGATAAATAGACAACATGGCTCCGGGAATCTGCACAACGCAGCGTCGGTTTTGTTGTCATGAATGTTTTAAGACGGAAAAAGAAAAGTTGCTTGATATTTTATTCCCTTTTATAAGGAACAAAACACATCCTTAAATATTCAGTATAAAATATTTCGTTTTATCTTGACAAATAAGCAACTTTTCTTCGTTTTTTTTTTCTTTTTTTTTTCTTTTTTTTTAAATTTCTAAATTGTCAGTTGAAATGGAAGTATAATATCTGTGTCTACGTCTTTGTACTTCTGAAAATTCTCTCTTTCAAGTAAGAAATTATAATGTTGTTTTTAATGACATTTTAAAACACACACTGTCGTATGTTCGATAATAGTTCGTTCGTTTGATTGTACATGTGCATTGTTTGTAGATGTATTCGTCCAGATTTTAATATTAAACAAAGATTTTAATGGGATACAAATAAAATCAGAAAACCCCATTTTCTTAATGGATAATATTAAATCGCATATACCAACGCAATCTAATCATATAAATTAAATTTTATTTAAATTATAACATTGTTTGATAACGTTTAAACTTATTAAACCTTTTGTATTATGCCATAAACATTTGAATATATAAAATGTGTTTTCAGTTTGTATTACATGTATATATTTTATATATATGAATTATAAAAGACCTACAATACATAAGATGGGCCTCATTTTCAAAATATATGAGCCGCGTCATGACAAAACCAACATATTGCGTTTGCGACCAGCATGGATCCAGACCAGCCTGCGCATCCGCGCAGTCTGATCAGGATCCATGCTGTTCGCTATCAGTTTCTCTACTTTCTATATGGTTTGTAAGCGAACAGCATGGATCCTGATCAGACTGCGCGGATGCGCAGGCTGGTCTGGATCAATGCTGGTCGCAAACACACTATGTTGGTTTTGTCATGACGCGGCTCATATCATTTCTTTAAAAGCATTGATATCACCTATGACACAAAACGAATTACGATGTCTTTAAAAGTCGAGATTTCTTAGACCATAAAGATAAAAGTCAATTAAAGAGGCAATATGTTAACTTTTCAATTCTGGCTAACGTTCTTATATATGAGTTCTGATATTTATGTTCTCAATGACTGCTCCGAGTAATAGGACTACCCGATAGGACTACTAGTTTTTTTGTGGTGGCGAGGTAGCCTACCGTATGTCTTAAGCACTGTTGTATCAATGCAATGGATTTGCGTTTAGTGTCATGATTTCAGGAAACATTCCAGCTTGCAATGCGGATGGGTCAAGGACTTTGTTTCCGGGGTGACAACGCAAGGCGGAATCTTCCGTCATTAAGTCAAAACGCCGCTTTTCTAGAGAAAGAAGTTTACAACTGAGTGGCGCATAATTTGTGCTCGCTATTGAGCAAACACTCTCTTTATACAACTAAGAACAATTGTTGTAATACATATAGCGTTCAGTGTGTTTGTAGTCAAACGTTTCGTTTCTTTGACAATGAAATCATTAAAATACAAATTTTATCATGCACTTGAAAGTTATCTTTGCTTCTTGTGTGTAGCTTCCATAAATATATGATGTCAAACTAAATCGAATTCCCTAAAAGAGTTGGATGATAAAGCCATGAAAGAGTATCAGACAGATTTGAAACGTTTAAATACCATCACGTTCTAAACAATAAAGACATGTATAAAACTGCAGAAGAAGTGATAAAATAGCTAAGAAGGCACCAACAAAATGTGTTTTAAAAAATAGGTTTAACTTAAAAAACATGATTTAGATCTATTATAATTATTTCGGTTAGGCTCCCGAAAGTAAATTCCGGTTAGAAATTGCAAACATAATTTTTGCAATACAGCCTTCTGTGCAGGTATAATGATTTGTTCGATATGATATGTAGATAGAAGCAAATCCCATTTTCTATTGCAAAATAAGATACCTGTTTATAAGAAGTAAAACAGAACAAAAAAAGATATGCAAACTATGTCACTAGCTAAAAATGATGATTGAGTTTTGTTATATTGTGATTTAGTTTACAATGATAAGTTTTCCACGAATTCACGAAAAAATATAATTATATTACATGGACTCATGATGCATGTACATTTCATTTTAAATCGTGCAATCGTTTAAAGTAAATTATAATAACCATCTGAACAAAGATCAAATAATTTACTATGAAACTTGTGTTACATACTGTTAACAATAACAGTACTGGTGGGATATCATGCTCCTATGAAGTCCAGGTGTATTTTGTCTTTAACAACCTTCGGCATGTTTGTGATTACTTGTACTAAGCATGCGAAGATCAGTCGCCACGAATCAGAGTTTGCACTGTTTCGCGATTCGGTCCTTTTTGTTATGAATGGTAATGTCTAGAATGAAAGTTTGGCATGCTACTTTAAAGACATTAAGCGTGGTAAATAATTAGACGACGAAGAAGAGCCCTTATAACTTTAATTACGAAATGCACTTTGATAAAATTGTTTATTTAAATTCGTTAAATATCGGTATTTAAACTCTGAAATATAATTTGGAGTCTCCGTAATGCAAAAACATGAAAGGTCTCCGACAAATTTAACAACGGGTTAACAATGACCGGAGTGTTTAACTTGATAACCCTCTCTTTATTGAGTATGTAGATAATTAAAAATCTTACACTTCTGTTTTATCTATGTTGACCTCTTTCTTTTCTTTTTCTTTTCGTTTCCTTAAAATTGTGATTTATAAATGAAAAACATTTACGATGACTACATAATGTTTTTGTCTGTTAAGATCTATTTTTCTGAAATATCCTGCATTTCATTACATTAAATTGACGGAACAAAATTCCGGTCAAGAGCTATATGAAATAATATCATTCAACGTCATAAACCTAGACTTTATTTCCCTTGGTCTGATGATAAAAAGAATTGATGAGTGGGAGAAATAACCTGAATCGTCTGGAAACTTTGTTTTCTTTGAGGCGATTGATACCAATCTGTCATATGATTGAATAATACTGCCATACCAGGACATAAACTGAATTAAGATGTCTTTTAAGTCTAGATTGAATAGTTTGAACAGCAAATTGGTTGTTTTCAAATATATTGTAAAGTACCAACAAAACTTTTTATATGTCGATACAATATACTGGCATGCGAGCAGTTCCCGTACAGAAGCAGTACCCGTATTTTTCATTTAAACGCTTGATTTTTACTTGCATTCTTTAAAAATTCATTTCAAATCAAGCAGATACATAAACGAGACAAAATCTAAGTGTCAGTTCGGCAATACGCATTAAAAGTCTCATTTTAAATCACTTTCACCTGTGCGTCGTCAAAACGTGACCTTGTTTTCTCTGGGGGATTCCGTCCTTGCGCGCATGCGCAAAAATATTTACACGTGAGGCTTGTTAAAGGGTTTTCCACTAATACCAACTGTTTACAGATAAGTAGGCAATGTGATTAAAACTTGTTTAATTATCAGAATTTTGACCAATATTACTATTTAAAATAATTTTATGGTTTTGATGCGTAAAATATCATGTGTACAAGCATGCTATTGCATGTGAATGCGTTGGGGTAACGGTACCGGGTAATAGATACCCGCGTTTAGTCTACGGTCTATTTCCTGAATAACATCTATTTATTTCTTAGATAATGGTCTGTTCAACAATTGTAAATGAAAAATAGGTCCGATATAATAAAATTGTATAATTACAATGGGTTAGATTTTATGTACGGGAACTACTCTTCATACAAAATAATCAATAATTTCGGTACCCCATATGAGGCCTCATAAGTAAGGGTTATTCTATGTTTAGAACATGATGGAATTTCCATGATTTGTGTGACGAGCCGAATATTGATGTGTAAAATTCAAATTTTGGTGAGTGAGCGTAATAAAAAATAATGTTTAAGTAACTACGATTTTTGTACGGGAACTGCTCGCATGCCAGTACATGTAATTATTAATTACATGATGGACCTTCATGCATTAGTTTATATCTTTCAAATGTCAACCGTTATTAAGCTATTTTTGTTTGATTTCATTCTTTCCTCAATAACTTGTAGACACAGACGCTTTGGGTTTGGAGCTCAAAACGCCTTTAAAATCCAAATAAAATGCATATTTGTCAATCCCAGGACATGTACTGATCATATATATCAAAAAATCTTAATATAAGCCGTTTTGAAAAAAAATCATATTTCAACATCTATAATAATACACAAGATAAAAATGTTCGCCGGAAAAAATCCGCACCCCTACCGTCATAATCACCATGTATTTTAATCCATTTCCAATATTTTCACATAATCCTTTGGTCCATCGACACAGAAGATATAATTCTTCACGATGATGGTCAATTTTAAACTTCAACGGTAATATAAACAACGCAACAGCCGAAATAAACATCAATATTCTCGCCGTTTTTTTTCAACGACAAAAACTTTCGATAAATTCAATGGACCAGACGGCTATGAACGAAGCTATCCGATTATGTGGCCCCAGCTTTGCCGTGTGCAAAATGCGCAGCGCTTTTAAGTTTGGGAACCACATAATCGGATAGCTTCATAGCGCATAAAACATAATTTTTAATTTTCTAAAATTTGTTAAAACAATCCATATAACATTTTAAGGAGCCGATATAATTAAAAAAAACTGCTTTATAGCTTCTCCATTATGTGACAAGTGGAAACAAATTTGAAATGATCCATTATATAGACATTACTAAATTAAATAACACTTCTATTTTAAAGTCCGATTATGTCATAAATTGATATAAATTCAAAATTTCAATCCCCAAATACCAAATGTTGAAAATTCACATAACCTAAAGTATTGTAAGACAGAAATATTTAGTTGAATTCTTACAAACTATAAGTTGTACTGATGTATATGCACTTACCATTGTTTTGTAATTCCTTGATCACTATCTCTAATGACTTACATAACATAAGTCACTACTGTCGTGTAAAAGTATCTTATCCGTGAAAATATTACAACTACTGCAGTACGAATAAAATTTTTCTTTAAATCATCCTTCTCTAATTCAAACAGACCCAAATGTATATATTCTAGTACAATGTATTATATTAAAAAAGAATACTTGCGACATATATTTTATATCATGTA